TGCTTGCAGCTCCTCCAGCTCCACACAGGCTCTTAGCCACTTTGATTTTATTAAGCCAAGAGCTACGCAATCTGCGGCGGTGGAAGCCAGCGAAATAAGTATTCAGGCTGCCGGCCATTGGAACAGTGGGTCTCAGTGGTGACTTTTTTGTGGTCAAAATGGTTATTAGGTTTTGCCTTAAATATATCACACTTTAAAGAGGGAATTCCTAAACAATGTTGTTTTAAAATAAATCTTTTTAAAGCTTACTTTACATTACATTTTGTAAACATTTTTGATCAACAAAGAGGCAAATACTTATACTTAAACACTGAATCACAGAATGCAGGTTTTCAAACACTTTTGTTTAAGGAACCATTCTTTTCCTTATTCTTTTCTTCTATATAAAAACATAATAAATAATCTTTCTGGATAATTTAAAAGCCATAACTCAAACCAAGGTGCTGGCTTTGCTTGCCTGACTGCCGTTTTGTGACTGTGTCCAATTTGGGCGCAGATTGACAGCGATATGCGTTTAATTTGACGATAAATGGCCAATATAGCACGCAAGTCCAGTTGGGGGAGCTGCAGGAGAGGGGTTACCCAGTTGAGCTGGGAAGCAAGGACCCGGGTTTTGTTTCTTTCTTTTTTTGGGGTTTTTTTGTCTGAGCTCTTTGCAATTCAATTCTAATGCTCGGGCCTGCGGGCTTCCCCAACTTCAACTCAACGTTCGTGCTCTCGCCAATTGCCAAATTCAAATCCAAATCGCAGCACGATCCAAGTTGAAGTTGAAACCGAAGCCGAGAGGTTGAAGCTGAGGCTGAATCTCAATCCGTATCCGAATCCGAGTCCGAATCCAGCCAAAAGCTTGGCCACGTTGGCAACTGACACGTTTGCTCGCATTTTGATTGCAATTTCTTTTCTTTTGCCCGACTCTCTGCAGCAAAGAGTCAAATTCGTGTTGGCCATTAAAAGCCAGCGACAATGGAAAACGCAAATCAAAATAGCTGAGAAGAAACAAAGCACAAAAACAACAACAACAGCAACAGCAACAAAAAAGTGCTTACAAATTTTCCTCACGAACCCCAGAGAAAAAACCCCTCAGAAAAAAGAAAACCGAATAAAGCTGATCGGAGACACGAAAAATCTCCAGTTTGCCTGCATTCTCGCCGCGAATTCCGCATCTTTTGCGAGACATGTGGGCGGCTGTCAATCTGTCTCTGTCTCTGTCCCTGCCGCTGTTTCTATCTCTTTCTCTGGTGGTGCTCCTCGTGTGTTGCTGTCTCTTATCACGCGACGCGACGCCCAGACCGTCCGACAGTCTGACTAACTGACCTTTTTGACACATGAGTCAAGCGTCTCGCTGATAGTGAGCGGAATTCTTAAAGTCTACTGAATGCAAGCTGACTAATGTCACAGGGGAGACTCGATAAGTACGACTTTGGATACTCTTCTCTAAGACGAAGAACTTTAAATTATTGAGGGATTAGTCAAGGAATTCAGGAGAAGATCACTTTTACATACAAAGTTAAGATAACAGCCATTCAAAATATTTTCACTTTTAAATAAAGTTTCTCTTAACAAGTTTGAATATTAAAATGTACTTTTAAATGTGTATAGTGTTATATCCTTAAATAAATATATTTGCACTTAAAACAAATATATACATATATTATTGTTACGATAAACCCATCGTAATGTCTCCAGTCTCAGATAGCTTGACAAATTATGTATTTAGTCACTTAACTTCCGCAAAAAATCCCACAAAATCCATTATCTAAAAATTATAAACCCCAAGCAAAACTAAATGACAGTGCAGGAAGTTAGCCCATGGCTTAATTTTCCCCCAAAAGGGAGTTTGTGGAGTAAAAGAAACAATTAAAATACACGAACCCAACCAAAGATGTTCAAAAAACAAATAAAGGCCCCTGGGTTGAACTTTTCTTTATTTGGGGGAAAAAATAAATAAATGTGACTATTAACCCGATGGCTTAGCCCACAGGGACTGCACCAGAGGGTTTCCGCTTCATTGATATAATTGTAATGGGTTAACACAAATATTACGCATACGCCTAGATGGCCCGCAGACACCTTTCTACAGCCGTTTTTCCCAGACAATTTGCTGCACTTTTCCTGCAGGCAGACAGCTGAGCACTTAGCACAATTCATCAAGTGATTTATTTAACACGCGCCGAGCGAAGCATTTGGACGGAAGTTTGATTTCGCCCGTGGCTCGGGATCATTAAGAATCTCTCCCCCTGTCTTCCCTGCCTTACCTGCCTTCCAATGCCAGCGGATCCAGCTGTGACCCACTGCACCAGATCCAGCTTCATCTCCATTCCCGGGACCAGAGAGCCCTGGTCATTGATTTATTGTGCTAGAGCTGGAGTTGGAGTTGAAGCTGCTCATCCAGGGCAATTTCACATGGGCAACACAGCTGTGGCCGATAATTATGGGCTTTCGGCCAGAAAGAGAGGAGGTTTCTCTAGGAACAAAATGGGCCGAAAACTAGCAAAAGGCAAAGTAAAGGGCCCCGTGGGACAGTTGCTGATTTAAATTCGTGTTAGAGAGACAAAATAATTACGGCAATTGGCCCAGCCAAAAATAAAGGTAAGGTAAAGCCGAAAACTCAAACGAACTGAAATGAAACTGCACGACGATCGACTGACTGACTGACTGGGTGACTGACTGAGTTACTGAGTGACTGAGTGACTGACTGAGTGAATGAATGACTCCACTTGGTACCATGGTGGACGACGGCAGTTCTTGGGAACATTCGGAGAGTGGCTCGGAACCATTAAAATTCTTGACGATGCGCCCTAGGCTGAAACCAAGGCAGAGACAGACAGAGCTGGAGATTGACTTGAAACCTAAGTAGTTGACCCAGAAAACGATTCTATTGCATATCGGCAAACTGTCAGTCTCATGTGATTCGTTATTATTATTATTATTATATATATTTGCCATTAAGCATTTATGATTTTTTGATTTATTTGTGCTGCTTTTGTGGCGCCAAAGTCAAAAGAGACAATCAGCAGCTGCTGCCCACGTAGCCATATAGCTACCAAAGAGCTATGTATAAATATATATATGTATATAGATAGTGAAAAAACCTCTACAATCCCCAATCTCAATGCAATCGAGACTTCAAGCCAAGTCAGTCAAGTGGCTTAAGGCTTGGTCTTGTAACGTTTCGTTTTCGTTTTCGTTACTTTTGAACGTTAGTTTTATTTCGATTTGGCTTATTTTTGTTTTTGTGCTTTTTTTGTTCAACCCGGTTGCTGTTTCTCCAATGTTTCGGCTTTATGCTTGAGTATTTACAATTCGATTTGGTTTATGAGAGTCGCAGGCGCAAACATCCAAAAAATTAAGTATACGCCACGAGGGATGGCAAGCAAATTGACTTGATGAGCTGACGAGTGTTGGCAGCTTTTAGGGTCTAAATGTGGGTGACTAGAGGAGTGTCATAAACAGTGATCACTACAGTGATAAATAGTTAATAGGGAAAAGAGACTGTGACTGTGTTTTGTTAAAAAAAAGAATAAGAAGAGTTTAAAGTATAAAGTATAATGGGGAAAAAGAGACTTAGATTTGGTTTTCTTACAAAATTAAAGGAGATTGAAGCATAAAGTACAAATTTTAATTATTCAAAATATACATAAAGCATTTCTAGTCATTTATAATACTTTTAAAACTTTCTGTTATATTTTATACCCTTTTCTAATCATTCTTTTATCTATTTCGCCATAATAACATTGATTAAATAATGATTATGTAGGTTATCGATCTGTTATAAGTAAAATCGTGTGAACCAATAATCAATAAAATTCAAGCTGATAACCCTTAGTGAAAAGCAAAAGCATACATCACACGAATTAAGACTGATTAAACAGAAAGTGTGACTCAATCAGCTCAATGTTTGAATAGGAAAGATAACTATGTACGTGCTCTATTTCCTGTTTAAAATTAATTTTATTTTTTAAGGGTTTTTAACTCAAAATTAGGGGATATATTTAAATATTTAGGTCGAAAGAAATTAAACAAATTGAATCATACACAAAACACTAGAACAGCAGCAAGAAAGTTCTTTAATTATTTGTTTAAATTTAGAGCTGATAAAACGGATAGAAAGGAAAACCCACTCAGAAAGCGTGACTCAAATGGCTTGTGTTCTTTTAGACAATACTTCCTGTTTGCTACCTAGCCAAATTACTCGGAAACATTACCGCTAATCTCTTTCTTTGGATCATAATAACACTTTTAATAGTCATGAATTTTAGCGGATTTAATCACTGTTTACCCAAAAGCTGCGATCACTGCAATGATCACCTTATCGAACTGTTATTTTTTCGTTACCAAATTTTCACTCAATCCAGTGAACTTGATCACCGAATCGCGGCGTGAATCACACCGCTGGAAGGCTTGGTAATGGAGTTGGAGATGGAGTTGGAGTTGGAGACGGAGCTGGAGACGGAGACGGAGCCCTGCTCATGTGGAGCATTGCTCCGGTCCGCTCGCCTTGTGCACAAACATTACTTAATCCGGCTTATTATGGACGCTCCGCTTGGCGTTTGTGTATTTCTTTTTCTTTTCTTCTTATTGAATTTCGTATATACATATATATATATTTTTTTTGTGTCTGCATCTCCCTCCCACAAGGGGTACTGCTACCTATATAATATATATGCTTTGGCAACATCTTGGCTGCACTTCAAATATGTTTGCTCGTCGGCAATTGCAGTGAACGCGACTGCACTGCAATAATTTTCACTTAATTACCTAATAACCGTTCGGTGGGATTATTGTGGATTTTATTTTGATTTTTTTTATTTTTTGGTGGCTATAGCTTAAGCATTATCTTCGACTTTGACCGTAATTATGGCTGCGGATCATTTGCAAATGTTGGCTCTCGGGTCGTCGTCACATAACTAATGATTAAACAAACCATTTGAATGCCTCGCTTGGAACTTGGAACTTGGAACTTATGCAACATTGACGATTTCTCTTGTTTTGTTTTGCAGGATGACATGCTACCCCACCACATGGTTGGCAGTGGCCAGCTGAATCCGCTAAATCTTGTCCACGGCTCCACATCCATGGACCAGTGCGGTCTGACCCAGGCGGGACTGGAGGAATACAACAGCCGGTCCTCGGTGTTCTATGACCAGACGGCCTTCCACCATCAGAAGCAGGCCTCCTATGCCCAGTCGGAGGGGTACCATAGCTATGTGTCAAGTTCGGATTCCACATCGGCCACGCCATTTCTGGATAAGTAAGTTGTTCAGGAGGGGGCACTAGAGGGAAAGGGGTTGGAAATAGTTGGTGCACAGAGAGAAATTAAAGGGAATATATAAATATATATATTATACTATATATAAATATGTTTCACAATCAAAAAGGATGATAGAGCATCATGCGAAAAAGAATATAACTTCTTATGATGACAAATAATCCTTAAATTTACAAATTTTATTTAATTTTGTATCAAAGTTCTGATAAGTTACAAAGTCCATGAGTGAAGAGGTATCTGCAACTTCAGTACACTTATCACCTTACACTAAAATTCCCAAGTGGTTCTGGTGACAAACTAACGAAGTTACCGATGAATACTGATGAGTATGCTGAGAGTTTCCTTTTGAAACTCCCTTAGATTTCTCTTAATTGTTTCACTAATTAAAAACAAATTGCTCATCGAGCTCTTAAAGCTTTATAATATCTGTAAAATGATCTAATATATAATATAATATATGTAAATGATCTTAAAATACAATTTCTCTATAATTTCTTGCCGTGCGTCGACTGCATTGCAAACACGTTTTTTCCGCGCACATACTCGCACTCGCATCAAATGCCGAGCGACAATTATGAATTTTATTTGTACACTAAAAAAAGCCATAAAAAATTCTTGGTAAGACATACACACACACACACATGACAAATAGAGAAATAAAACCGAAAACGAGCAGCTTAAGCTTGGCTCTCAAGGTCTTCTTGGCTCCGTCTCCGGTTGTTAGCTCTATTTTCTGTCCAAATGCCTGAGTGTGTGTCCAAGTGTCTGAATGTCTTCAGTCTTCTGAACTTGCCCCAAGTGCCGGAGCCATGGAGAGAGAGTCATTGCTGCTTCTGGGTCTATTTTAGACCCGATGCGAAGGCTAGAGCCAGAAATTCAAGTAATTGCGGCCATGCGAATAGGCAAGAAACCAGAAATCGCACACACAAATCATACACAAATCAGACAAATTTCTGTAGCACGCAATGAGTTGCCAAAAGAAAAAAATACTTGAGTCTTGACTTCAACTCTAATTCCAACTCTATTTGCAGATTACGTCAGGAGAGTGATCTTTTGTCCCGTCAGTCGCATCATTGGTCGGAGAACGATCTCTCCTCCGTCTGCAGCAACTCGGTGGCGCCATCGCCCATCCCGCTCTTGGCCCGCCAGACCCACTCCCACTCCCACTCGCATTCCCATTCCACTCGCATTCCCATGCCAACTCCTCCTCCTCCTCCGGATCCAGCAACAACAACAATAGCATTAGCAATGGCTCCAGCAATAGCAACAATATTAATAATAGCAACAACAACAACAACAATAGCTCGGAAAGCACTTCCTCCACGGAAACCCTGAAATGGCTGGGCTCCATGAGCGATATATCCGAGGCGAGTCATGCCACCGGGTATAGCGCCATTGCAGAATCAGGTAAGTTTATCAAAGATATATGTACATATGTATATTTGTACAGCCATATTTGCCTTCAAGAAATATAAATATATTGGGGGAAAATATTAAGAGAATATAAATATTTGTAGTTTCAGATTAATTCTTATTTATGGAACATATTTAACTTATAAAAGAAGACATATTTGTTATTGATTAAGCAAAAGGGTAAACTAACTTCGGCAAGTCCAAGATTTTATACCCTTGCAGTTTTAACTGAAATATAGAATTGAATCGGAAATTGATCATAACTAAGATACAAATACTCGTATTCTTTAAATAATTTAATTTTAACAAATTAAAGTTTAAAATACCCATAACTAAGAAAAAAAGCATTAAATTCAAATCAGAAAGCTTTTTATGTTAGTTTTTATTCGGTTAATAAGCCTGCATACTCAACTTAAAATTGTAAAATTTTTGGAACTTTAAAAAATTTACTTTTAATTTAATTTAAAATTTGAAACATATTTTCCTGCTTGAGATGGCGAGACAGACTTGGCTTTCGACGCTCATTAAGAATATATATAATTTATGGGTCGAAAGTGACTTCTTAAATGTTACAAGCTTCTGCCTTAAATTATAGTATCCTGCAAGGGTGTACAAACAATAAGGATGCTTGGCACATGTTAATATGAAAATATTAAAAATGAATCTTAGATTGCTCTTCTTATTAGATTTTATTCAATTTTAAAGTACCTTGTTTATTTTGCTTACATTATGTAGTCATAAACTCACATAGAAATGTAATTTTATATGTAAAAACCCAAGTAAATGTTGGAATTTGTATAATTTACAAAAAAAAAGAAACCAAGAATAAAAGGCAATTGTGGCTGTAACCTGAGTTGGCTTCGGGTCACAGTGGCACAGTCACAGTTTTGGGGTGAATGGGTGGCTGTAATAAGAGAAGGTTGCCCAAAAATATATATACATAACATATATATATGTATATATTGGCGACTGGGTCTGCCCACTCCCCCACGACCTTGGCTAGTTACCAACAAACGTTTGGCCCACTTTTACTCCGGAGCAACTCCTTTTTAGAATGGTCGAGGACACGCCCTAACCGTGCTATGCCTCCTCTGTTTCCCTTCGTTGCAGTCTCCTCCTCGCAGCTGATTGTGCACAGCTCCCGGGTGCTGACCCCCAAGCGTCACCACAGTGAGAGCGTGCTCTACCTGCACGACAATGATCCGGTTGCACCGAGCTCACCCACCGAGAGCAGCTCCTCCAAGGTGATTGCCGAGGAGACAGCGGTGCAGCAGCCACAGTCCCTGCGCATCCAGCACCGGCACAGTCCCAGCTATCCGCCGGTGCACACCTCGATGGCGCTGCATCACTTTCCGCAGCAGGATCACCTCAGTGGCCAGTCGTCCAAGCTGGGCACACAAAGTTCCTTGGAATCGCCCACGGAGAAGCCTCGCTCCCTCCTTGGACAATCCCACTCCATGGGCGATCTCCAACAGCAGCACCAGCAGCAGCAGCATCTAGGCAGATCCTCGGGCCAGCAACACAAGTCCAGCATCTCGGTGACCATCTCCAGCAGTGAGGCAGTGGTCACCATTGCTCCCCAACCGCCAGCCGGGAAACCCAGCAAGTTGCAGCTCCCTCTGGGCAAGTCCGAGGCCCTCAGCTGCAGCACACCCAACATGGAGAGTCACAGCCCCACCAATAGCACTGATTCCTATCGCAGCAACCACCGCCTGTTCCCGGTGAGCACCTACACGGAGCCGGTGCACAGCAACACCTCGCAGTATGTGCAGCATCCCAAGCCGCAGTTCAGCTCCGGGCTGCACAAGTCCGCCAAGTAGGATTGAGTTTTTAGCACTGGGAGCACTTTTACTAATCTACATCTTAATCCTTTCCAGACTACCTGTGATAACGCCAGCGGGAGCCACAGTGCAGCCCACCTGGCACTCGGTGGCCGAGAGGATCAATGACTTTGAGCGCACGCAGCTGAGTGAGCCACCCAAGTTCGCCTATCTGGAGCCCACCAAGACGCACCGCCTCTCGAATCCGGCCCTGAAGGCGCTCCAGAAGAACGCGGTTCAATCCTATGTGGAACGGCAGCAGCAGCAGCAGAAGGAGGAGCAGCAGCTGCTGCGTCCCCACTCCCAGTCCTATCAGGCACTGGAGCGCAAGTCGCTGCCCAATAATCTGAGTCCCATTATGGTGGGTCTGCCGCCCTCTGGAGGAGGTAACAGTTCCATGGCCTCCTCGAGGGATTGCAACTCGCCCACGCCCCCACCGCCGCCACCACGCTCTCGCAGCCTACTGCCCAATATCCTGAGGCGTTCCAGTTCGGCCTCGGACTACGCAGAGTTCCGGGAACTGCATCAGGCCCAGGGACAGGTGAAGGCGCCCAGCATAAGGAACATAAGCAGCGCGGAGAAGAACTCCTTCAATGACTGTGGCATGCCACCACCGCCGCCGCCTCCCCGAGGCCGAGGCCTGGCCATGCCCACGCGACGCACTTCCTCGGCCACCGAGTATGCGCCCATGCGGGATAAGCTGCTGCTCCAGCAGGCCGCCGCCTTGGCCCACCAGCAGCATCATCCGCAGCAGCATCATCACCGGCCGCCACCCGAGCGTCCGCCCAAGCATCCAAATCTTCGAGTGCCCTCGCCCGAGTTGCCGCCGCCGCCGCAAAGTGAACTGGACACCAGTTACACCTTTGACGAGCCTTTGCCGCCGCCACCGCCTCCGGAAGTGCTACAGCCTCGCCCACAGCCGGCCTCGCCCAATCGTCGGAACAGCTTTGCCGGGGCGTCCACTCGACGCACTGCCTACGCCGCGGCTCCACCGGTTGCCAAGGTTCCGCCACTGGTGCCCAAGAAGCCAACGAGCTTGCAGGTGGGTCGAGTAACTACTGTTTTGGTAATTGGATTCTGACTGTCTTTGTTTCGTTTCTGTTTTTATTTTTGGTAGCAGAAGCATCTAGCGAACGGAGGAGGAGCTGGTAGCCCCAGTAATCTGCCCACCACTCGCAAGCGTCCACATCATACGCCCCAGCAGCAGCCCATCCTCGAAAATATGGTGGCGCCACCGCCTCCTCTACTGCCGCGTGCCAGATCCGCCGCCCATGACAATGTGATTGCCAGCAATTTGGAGAGTAACCAGCAGAAAAGGTGAGTACTCTGCGGTCTTTTGTACATAAATTTAAGTTTGTTTAAGTAAATTATTAAGGAGTAGGTGAGATATTCCTTGAGAGTTAGCTTGTATCTAACCCAGAGAATCTCATAGATTGTAGACAGCTTAAGATCGGCTCCACTTCAAATCTGAATATAATATATTCACCGAGTTGTTTGGACCGCTCCCCCAGGTTCATTGTTCTTGACCTTATCGAATCCAATTAGTTGTGAATGGAGTGCGTGGCACGGTAGCTGCTCCCCTTTGAGACGCTGATCTTGGCTCTTGGCTAATGAGCCGCTTCCTTAGCCGCCTTACGAGCCGTCAATCAGCTGTCGCCTAATGCTTAATTGGATTATGAAATACACTGCTCGCTGAGCTGCTCGACTTTCGCTTTCGACCCACTAAGCCCGAGAAAAACTGGCCGGGGCGACTCCAATTGCCAATCGCCAAAAAAACCAAAACCCCAATTGAATTGCCGCCACCTGAGCCACAAAAATGTGTCAACCAAATAACGATTTATGTGTTGGCTCCTTTGGCGTGTGGGCAGGCAGCACCACCAGCAGCACCACCACTCCCCAGATTCCCGAATTATCCACCCAAAAAGCTGCAAACACCGTTCTTTGTTCTGATTGTGACCGGTAAAAGCCAATCAAATTGAATATCGAAATTTATCTGGCCAGCGTTACGGGGACAAAAGGTCCATTCTTGGCTGGAACTGACATTGATAGATGAACGCCGGTCGGTTCATTAGCGCACCGAGCGCATAGTTTTTGCATTCACTGTTTGGCATCGCACCCAATTTTTTGGGACATTAGATAACTCACAGGCACAGTGGTTGCACCTCTCTGGGGAAAATAATCTGAGAGCTTAAGCATCTCTTGAAACATAATTATAAATTAATCAGTATTGCAAAGGGAAGATTACAACCTTATTTACTGACTTATTCCCTTGGAAATTAATACCCAATCCAAGTTGAAGTTTCCAGTTTCATTACATAAACTCCTCTTTCTTTTAAACTTTTATTTAATAACTTACATAAGACCATTTGCTTTGATATATTTAATTGATTTCCTTCTGCACACTGTGCATTGTCCATGTTCAATAATTTCTATGGGCTGTCATGTTTTTAACTCTGCTGTTTCAGTTTTTGTCTGCTTAGTTTTTGTTGTTTTCTTTTCTGTTTGGTGGCTTTGATTTTGTTTTCTTTGGTGGCTCGGTTGACACCGGGGGAGACCTTTGCGGCACGATTTGTTGCAGCAGCAGCAGCCGCAGCAGCAGCATCCAGCACGAGACAAATATTGACACAATTTGTGGCAAAGTTTTCAACCTCGGTTCGGGATTTAGGATTTGGGATTTAGCTGACTGGCGACTTGTAAATGGGCTTGTCAGAGCGCTTCGCTGTTTTGTCGTTTAAGCCCGGTCGATCTTGGGGTTCAAATGCCGTTCACCGCGAGAGCGACGAACGTGCCTAATTTGCATTTTGAAAGTTTTTTCTTTGTGGTTTGGCGTGCGGAAAATGGAGCAAAGGGCAGCCATCGCTTGCATTTTTCTCGACAGATAGTCACCTGCAGACGGCAATTAGAGCAAACACGGCTAAAAGGAAAACCCTGAAAGGTGTGCCATGTGTTCTGGCCTGACAGCCCCCTCTAATTATCGCCTCGCACAGCCGTCGGGCAAAGTGCAGGCATTTTGCCGAATTAATTTCCCTCTCCTTAACAATTTGGCAACACTTCGGCCTGAGTTGTGTATTATTTTCAAATTAACTGCTGGCTGGCTGGCTTGCCGGCTGTGAGTCGGCATTGACTTGGAGCGACCACAGACCACGCGTCGTATGCGCGCTATAAATCACTCATTCGCCGTGTTGCCACAGCGGCACTCAGCAAAGGCAAAGGCAAAAGCCAAGCAAAGCAAAGCAAAGCGTTTGCAAAAAGGAACTGGCGGAAAAACATAATGGAAAACGCCAAAGCTAGACAATTCAATTTATCCAGCCGCAAAGTCGCGACTGTTTTTCCGATGCAATTGCCATGATTAGGCGACGTCGCCAGGCAACTCTTTCCCGAGAGCCAACTTAACAAAGTGTTTGCCATAATTTCTGCCAGCTATCGCCGGCTAAATATCACAAAAGCCCAATGATCGATTGAACTTTGATCCGAATGACGACGGCGACGACGACGATGACGATGACGATGCAACAGATTGGCGATGAGAACATGCAGCAACAAAAGGTGATTGAATTTAATGGTTTCTGGGGGCTTGGTACTCAGACTGTCAGGTTACCTTTATACATATAATAAAGCTCATTTAAGCTGAAACAAATCTTGATGGTTGGAGAATATGCAGGAATAACCAGATACCTTTTATGGCCAGCACAAGGTTCCTTTTGTATGAGACTTTTGAGTTTGAGTATAGCCTGTTTTAGGGGTTTTCTTCAGGTGGTAAGTTGTGTCAGCACTAAAGTATGCTTTAAAATATTTTTGTTAGCTCAATAAGAGCGAGCAATAATGGGCTCTCTTACTCAACACTCTTTAAATGGAATTTTTAAAAATGTGAGAAGAAAAATAGCAGAGAAATAAACATTCTGTTTCTGTTTCTTTTTTTTTTAAATAAAAGATTATAGAAAATAGCCCTACAATCCGTATGAAAAAGGGTTCTTTCTTATCCTAAAATAAAAGTTTCTTTTCAAATATGTTTATTAAACTTTAATAATTTCCAATCAATGTCTAATACTTGTCACCAAAAATTTCTCTTTTAAAAAGCATAAATATACAGTAAGAGAGTCTGAAATCATGCTGTCTCTAAGGGCCATAAAAGTTGTGTTAGCAAACTGAGTATCTAAGTAGACTTGCAATAAATGGCTTTATTCAATGGGCCATAAATTAAAGGCGACAATAAACCAAGGAGCACCAGAACTTCATTTCACTTTATATACTATTTAAATAGTATTCTTTTTAGCTGCTTTTTTGGTATTATTATTAATTAGAATTCCTGGCTGGTGAGTGTTTGTATTGTCAACAAACCCTCGAGCCAACATTTAAGCCAACTCAACTATATGCCGCCGTATAAGAGAGAGAGGCAAAAACCCTCTCTTAAATCACTCGATTCTCTTCTATAGCGTTCTCTTTGTTTGAGCACATTCGCCTGGTGAAACTGGCTGATAATTCAGTGGTTGTACCGGTCCGGTCAATTGCTTACCAACAGCGAACGTGAACGGTTCTCCTCAGCGATGCTCGAGCATCGTTTGTAGTTCGCAAAGTTTTGACGGTTGCTCTTCGCTGGGACACAAATTGAAAAGCTAGTTGCAACTTTTCATTAGCTTTTCCATTTTCAAATATGCCGGCTATAGTTTCAACTTCAAGCGAGTGATAACCGCTGCCGCGTTCGGATGTTCGAATAGTTCGAACCGCAACGAAAATAATGTTTCAATTCCCTGCGAAATTCGGCAATTAAAAATGCAAAACTCTCGTGTCAACCGGCTGCATGTGTATCGATTTCATTTCGCGGCCAATTTATTTCCTGATTGTAACAAAGAAAAGTAAAAACAAACCAAAATAAAACACAAAACAAAATTGAAACAAGGAAGTTCAGCTTTAGCGGGTTCAAATGTTAGGCCAACAAACTGCATACGATTTGCACAAATAACTGGCAAAGGAAGAAAAAGATATCACGCGAAGTTCGGTTCAGTTTGGTGTTTTTATACATATAGTATATATAGTATATATTTGTCATCATCATCCCCCCAAAGTCCCATTGCGGCTACCAAATTGGATTTCACAATACTGGATACCGTCTACCACATGAAAATGGTGTTCGGCGGCAAGTTTCGAATCAGAAGGTAAACACACTTTCGCACAGCTCAATTGCCAGCCAAGTTGGTTGGTCAGTTTTTTATATATACATTTTTTACGTACGTATTTGCGATCCCGTCTGATAAAGCCGGCTATTAACAATCGCCATTAGTCAGCCAGCAAACGGCAGCAGGAAATTCTACAAAACTTTGCTGTGGGCACAGAGCGAAAATAATGTGCGACAGCTGTTCCTATAAACTATTTTACAACCTAATCGAAGTGATTAGAGTGATTATACTTAAATACAGATAAGCAAGTTAAGTTTTTGTTAAGCAGAAAACAATACTGATTAAAACCTTACAAAGGAGTTATTTAAAAAGGGGGTTTCCCCTGAAATCGAACTTGATTCGTTGCTTTTGATCAAGAATTATAACTCTCCCAGTTTCCCCAGCTTTTCTCTCTCTGTAGACTTAAAACTAGGCTGTCCGCTTGAAAATGAAAACTCAACTTCTAATAAGAACGCTCGTCAGCCAATGGTGTGTATTTTATTTTTATTTTTCCCAAGATAAGCTTTTCTGTAAATCGTTTGTTAACTGCATTCGCTGTCTGGGATTTGATCTGAGTTTTGCTTTACCTGGGATAGTCGCTGTGTGTAGTTGTAGTATTTCTCTGCCGCCGTGTACTAGTTTGCGGCAAGTAGTAGTTGTCGGCTAACTTCAGTGAAACCATATTTAGCATGCTCAATGCCTAACGTCTCCGCTAATGACTACAGTTGTTGCTGGGATGCACGGGGGAAACATTTTTGGACTGCTCTTATCTTACAGTTTGTACTATATCTTTCAGGGAGAAATATATGTAACATAGTATAGTATATTTTTAAGTGTAAAAATCAACAAAATATTGAATGTATGGGAGAGTTCTTTGATATGAAAATAAAGATCAACAAAAGGCATTTTAAAAATGATATCTAGAGTGTCTTTGCAGTATTTAATTTTACTGAAAAGCTACAGTATTGGTATCATTTGTTTCCTTTTACAAAATTAGTCCAGATCAGAGATCTAGAATATAGAAGTTCTTTATTTTCCTCTGTTTGAAACTCCTTTGTTCCCCATTTTCCTCTGTGTGGATCTGTGGACCTTCTCCGACTTGGTCTAACAACTTTAGCCCGAGCTGATAATTTTCACAGCTGTCGCTCTTTTCTTGTTGTATGT